TATGCTCGCAGTTTTAGAGAAATTTAAAGCATTAGACAAAATATATTTAATTATAAGCATTAATAGAGAAATAATTATCCTAAGAATCGATAATCGAAGAATCGCAACCAAACAATTTATAGTTTTTATCTCTGTCGCTTTGATTTTTACTTATAATTTTATTGATAATAAATAATTTCACACACGATATGCTTCGTTGAAAGTTTATTATCGTAACATAGTTTTGTCACACATATACACATACACACACAAGTGTCGCCGCGCGAAAGATAACAAAGCCATAACATGTAAACAATAGAGCGGTATACGTCGCCAAGGCTAATCTCGATTTTTCGTATAACATTTTGCGAAAACTTGACAGTATACGTATCACCGAGCGATCATATGAACGTGGAATAATTAATTATAACACTGTTAATAATTAAATCTCATTTGAAATTGATAGAATACGATTAAAATATATACATATGATATAATACATAAAATATTTCGGCAATGTATTATAATATTGAATTCGGCGTTGGTGGGGTATACAATAGCGTGCTAATGTTTACGTGCTTCGGTCTTGTTATCATTCGGCCGGCGACATTTAAAAAGTATTGTAGGAGACGGCGGAGATGCTCCGTCAAATTCCTTTTCTAAACGCGATCGCGACTAGTATATATAGACAGAATTTGCTATTATTTTAATTATTATAATTAATAATTAATTAACTTTTGATATACAACATGAAATTATATCGTGACAATAATAAAATGCGTATCTCATGGGATTGTTCTGCGATTGAAAATGCTGTGCAAAGTGTCTCGCGATCGTTACATATACTACTATTTATAATTAACCGTGTTTTCGCGAGTGAGTATGAGTACCAGGAGAAAACAGGAAAGAATGAACAAGAGAGAAGAAAAGGAGGTTTGGATAAGGGACGAACCGATATGCGGTAAGTAATTTATAAATTATTTATCATTTATATCATATTTAAAATAGATATATTGCTCGTTCTTTTTTCATTTAAGCAACAATATCTGCGAGTATCGATTTAACATGCCTTTTTAAAAAGTGAAAATATATTCTAAACTCTTTATTTCTACGCATATTTTGTTGCACTTTAATTATATGTTGAAAAGTCACTCATGAAAAATTTTCTGAGTCATAAAATATAATATATTATTAGAAAAAAAAATAATAAATGGATCAAAATATTTTATTTTTACAATTCTTTTTATCCTTATTTTCATAATTTATATAATATTTAATTTACAATTCAATATACTATTTATTTTCAAGCATTTAAATTATTTCCAACAAGCACTTATTTCACAAAATTCCACTTTCCCGCTAACAATAAACAGAACGTGCCGGCTTCGTTCCTCTCTCGCAAGGATATCGTTTATCATACGTGTCCTCTACAACGCGTTGTCAGCAACCAAATTCTACCAGCTCGGTCGCTTAAAGTTTGAAAGATGAATGGACCGACCGAGAATTCTGGGTCGCGAACGCGAAAGAAGAATTTCTTCATTTACTAGACAAGTAAAGCCTTTAGTTCGCAATCCGCGTCCATGCCCCTCTGTAAACGTGCCACCCCGTTTTACCCTTGGTAACAGCTGCGTCGCTTAAAATAGGGGTTTCTTTAGTGGTCTCGACCTGCATGTAGATGTACATATGAACATATGTCCGACGAATCACGCGATGATTGTCACTATAGCGACGCGTTCAAACCCTCGTTTTACAATAATCTACGGAATGGGATATCTAATTTAAATTTAGATTCTATTATTTTGTCTCCTTAAATATTCATAAAATATTTAATAGAAAAAATCTCTAATCTAAAAAGTATTTTTTGATTACAAAAATTTTATAGTTTTAAAAAGAAAATAAATATTTCT